GCCCCGCCATGGCCGCCCCCGGTCCCGGCCCCGCCATGGCCGCCCCCCCCCGCCTCGGCATCCAGATGCTGCTGGAGGCCGCCGAGTTCCTGGAGCGGCGGGAGCGAGGTACCCCCCGCGCCCCCCGCGGTGCCGCCGGTGCCCCCGGCCGGGCCCCGCGGTGACCCGCGCCCGCCGTTGTGTCTCCGCAGAAGCCGAGCACGGTTACGCCTCGCTGTGGCCCGGCGGGAAGGACGGCGAGGCCCCGCGGCGCCGCGCCAAGGCCCGGAGGAGCGGCGGCGGCGGCAGGTGACGGCGGAGCTGCTGCTGTCCCTGGGTGTGTGACAGCGCTGGGGACCCTGCTGCCACCGGGTGACCCGGCTCAGGGAGCTCCTGCTGTCCCTGGGTGTGTGACAGCACTGGGGACCCTGCTGCCACCCGGTGACGCAGCCCAGGGAGCTCCTCCTGTCACTGGGTGTGTGACAGCACTGGGGACCCTGCTGCCATCGGGTGACCTGGCTCAGGGAGCTCCTGCTGTCACTGGGTGTGTGACAAGATTGGGGGACCCTGCTGCCACCGGGTGACCCGGCTCAGGGAGCTGCTGTTGTCACTGGGTGTGTGACAGCACTGGGTGGGGCTCTGCTGTCACCAAAGTCCACCTGTCAGCGGGTGTGACACCGTGGGTGGCACCTTTCTGTCCCTGGGTGACCGGCCCGGAGAGGTCCTGTGTCCCAGCCCTGCCAGGGGACCCTCCTGTCACCTGCATCACCCCAAACCCACCCAGAGCCTCCCCTGTCCCTCCGTGCTCCTTCCCCCCCTTGCTCCTGACTCTTTTAAATCCTGAACCAGTTTTTCTCCACGCTGAATCCCAGCACCAAACCCCACCTGGAGCCTCCATTCCACCCTGAACCCCCTCGCCCCGCCGGGATCCTCAGCTCTTTCAGCAAGGGCCACCTCCGGGGCGCTGTGAGGGGCAGCAGCTCCATCCCCACCCGTCCCCGGGTGCCAGGGAGGAGCCGGGTGCTGGTGGCAGCACATCTGTCACCCTTTTCCTGCTCGGGAGCGCTCCCGTCTGCGCGACGCCACCGCCCGACCTTTGGCAGCTGCCGGGGCCGGGTTCGTGATTCCCCGGTGCCCCGGGGCCGGGTTCGTGATTCCCGGGTGCCCCGGGGCCAGGTTCGTGATTCCCCGGGGCCGGGTTTGTGATTCCCCGGTGCCCCGGGGCTGGGTTTGTGATTCCCCGGGGCCCCGGGGCTGGGTTTGTGATTCCCCGGGGCCGGGTTTATGATTCCCCGGTGCCCCGGGCTGGGTTCGTGATTCCCCGGTGCCCCGGGGCCGGGTTTGTGATTCCCCGGTGCCCCGGGGCTGGGTTTGTGATCCCCCCGGGCCCTTTCGGGGTCGGGAGCCCCTCGGGGGGCAGAATCCCACGGGCTCCGAGGGTTTGTCCTGCCCGGACACGCTCTGGGTTTCCTTTCCTGGGAGTGTTTGGTTTGCTTTGGGCGCAATCTTTTGGGGTTTTCAGGAATAAAAAAGCAGATTCCGAAGGGAGAGCTGGTGGTCAGCTGAGGTTCAGGGTGCTGGGAATCCAGATCAGCAGCTCCGTGGGCATGGAGAGGATGTGGGAGCTCCACCTGCCCCGGGAGGAAGCTGCCATCCCCTCTGTCCCTGTTTGTTTTATCCAAAATTCAAATCCAATTTTTTCCCCTCTAAATGTTGGTGATGGTGAATGCAAGTGCAGAAGAGAAAACAGCCATTCCAGGAAGGATCCAGGCAGAAAAGAGGATGGATTTGTAATTAAGGGCTGTGGAGGTGATGGGAGCTTCACCCCTGTCTGTACCAGTGCTCAGGAAGTGTTTGGATAATTTAGAATCAAGGAAAAAACTCACAAAGCTGCAGCCCCTTGGTAAAGGGCTGGGTGGGAAACGTGCAGATTCATCCAGGGAGAAAGGAGACACTGCCCAGGAGCTGAGCCCTTGCAGTGTGCCAGGATGATCCCCCTGGAGTGGGAGGGTCTCTGCTGGGATGGGACGTTTCTGGGGACCTGGGAGATGTGGCCCAAAAGCAACTGGAGCAGGGTGATCCATCAGGAAAGGCTGGAAAGGGAAGGAGACCACCTGCTGTGGTGGTGACATCCCTGGACTGGAGCAGGGTGATCCATCAGGAAAGGCTGGAAAGGGAAGGAGACCTTGGAGAGAATCTGCCACTGCTGTGGTGGTGACATCCCTGGCTTTCCTTTCAGTGACATCCCTGGCTGTCCCTTTGGTGACATCCCTCATTTTCCCTTTGGTGACATCCCTGGCTGTCCCCTTGGTGACATCCCTTGTTTTTCCAGCACTCCCAGGTCCCATGGGGCCATCCCAGCAGACATCCTCACCTCTGGGTTATTCCTAGTTTATGTTTTCATCTTTATGTATTTTCATTTCCCAGCCTCTGGGTTATTCCCAGTTTATGTTTTCATTTTTCCCCAAACTGGGGGAGCTTCTCGAGGCCTCTGGAGGTGCTGGGAAGGCAGTGGGCAGGGAAGCAGCTCATTCCTGGGATTGTGGCCTCCCGTGGCTTCCTCCTGGATTTCAGTGGAGGGAAAGCCAGTCCTAGCTTGTGTTTTCCACCTTTTCCCAGCTCTGTGGAAGTTGGGAGCTTCAGGGGGATTTCTTGTGGCTTTCATGTGTTTGGGGTCTCCTCCAGAGCTGCTCTGTGCTGTTGGACACAGGGAAGGCTTTTTCCAATTTATGTTCCTGGATTGAGGGACAGGGATGAGCTGTTGATCCCAACCCCAGCTCCAAAAGTCGGGTTTAAATCCCATTTCATGGTTTTCCTGAGCCTTTTATTGCCACTCACCATCCCTGGGTGGGGAGCTCTGGAAGCCCCCCGGGTCTGCAGCTTTTCCAGGGAGCCTTTGCTAATTCCCACGTGTTAATCCCAACTTCTAATCCCTCACCAGCCAGAGGAATTAATAACTTCTTCCTTCTTTTCCAGGTCGACACACAATGAGATGGAAAAGAACAGGTGAGTGCCAGGGGTTGTCAGGAGCTGGGCTAGGGGGAATTATTGCTTTTCCAGGGGTGTTCCACCATCCTGAGATGGCTTGGGAGGGAAGGAAGGGGATATAAAGGACACCAGGAATTAAAGCATTCCCTGTCCTCGCTGTTGGGAATGGCATCCACCTCCACAGCCCTGCTTATTCAGGAAAATTATCTTTCACAGGCTCATCTTTGAGCCAGCTAGAGTTTGGGATTTACCCTGAGTAAATCCCACTTTTTTTGGCCGTGGTGTCATCCCGAGGCCCTTTAGGTGAGGAAATCCCTGTTCCCTCCCAGCATATCCCAAACAAGACCAGCAGGTCGTTGCAAAATCCCTTTGGAGCTGCCCGGGATCAGGTGGTTCAGGGGTGGCTGTCACAACCCCTTCCCAAGGACCTGACCTACGTGTTGGGCTTGGGAATGGACACAGGGAAACTGGGATGTGCTGGGAGCAGCCTGCTCTTTTCAGCAGGAAAAGGGATTTCCTCGAGGAGCTGGAGTTCCCCTCCTGCATTAACCTGTTAAAGCAGAGAAAACGCAGATGTTACAGGAAGAGGGAGGATTCCTGGAGAACAGCCAGTGCTCCTGCAGGCATCTGGGGGTTTTGTGTCCAAAACCACCCTGTTCCTACTAAAAATAAGGAAAGGAAGCACTCCCAAGGGATTTGCAGCTGGGTGTTGTTAGCCTGGGCAGCTTCAGCTCTCAGCAGGAACCACGCAGCCCTCCTGAGATGGAAGAGAACGACCAAAAGTGGACATTCTCACCCAGAATCACGAGCTCGTTGGCATCTCGTGTCCCGGGCTGCCAGCAGGGTTCATCCAGCAGCTTTTCCCAAGGCATCCTCTGGCCTGGCTGCAGTTCTCTCCCAGTTTCTGGAAGCCCCTGGAGGCTGGGGAGGCTCCTGGTGGGGTTTAGCTCCCGGGACCCCATTTTCCCCCAGCGGCGGGCTGGGAATGCCCCCGGGGAAGCCGTCCCAGCTGTGTGTGCTCCCGTTGCAGGCGTGCCCAGCTCCGGCTGTGCCTGGAGAGGCTGAAGGGGCTGGTGCCGCTGGGGGCGGCGGCCGGGCGGCACACCACGCTCAGCCTCCTCACCAGGGCCCGCCTCCACATCCAGGTGAGCCCAAAACCGGCACCGGGCACCGGGCTGGGAGCTGGGAGCAGCGTCCCTGGACGGGCCCCGTGGGCTGGGGTAACTGGGAGGGCACTGGGATGGTGATGGGATGATGGGGGGAGCGCTGGGATGGGGCTGGGGTGACTGGGGGAGTTCTGAATTGGGCTGGGATGACTGGGAGGGTTGGAATCCCTACGGCTCCACATCCTGAACGTGCTGAAGGTGGGAGCCCCTTGGGAGCCAGGGTGGATTGGGCAGGGAATGCCAGGTGGTTCTGAGGGAATCCTGAGTGGTTCTGAGGGAATCCCGGGCTCAGGGTGCCCTGTCCCGGGTGGCCCCAAGGAAATCCTGGGTAGTTCTGAGGGAATCCCAAATCCCAGGTGGTTCTGAGGGAATCCCATGCTCAGGCTGCTGGTAATGCCAGGTGGCTCCAAGGGAATCCCAGGCTCAGGGTGCCATGTCCCGGGTGGCCCTAAGGGAATCCCAGGTGGTTCCAAGGGAATCCCAGGTGGCCCCAAGGGAATCCCAGGTGGCTCCGAGGTAATCCCAGGTTGGTTCCAAGGGAACCCTGGGCTCAGGGTGCCCTGTCCAGGGTGGCCCCAAGGGAATCCCGGGTGGGTCCAAGGGAATCCCAGGTGGTTCCGAGGGAATCCCAGGTGGTTCCGAGGGAATCCCAGGTGGCTCCAAGGGAACCCTGGGCTCAGGGTGCCCTGTCCCGGGTGGTTCCATGGGAATCCCGGGTGGTTCCGAGGGAATCCCAGGTGGCTCCAAGGGAACCCCGGGCTCAGGGCGCCGTGTTCCCGCAGAAGCTGGAGGACCAGGAGCGCCGGGCCCTGCACCAGATCGAGCAGCTGCAGCGGGAGCAGCGGCACCTGCAGCGGCAGCTGGAGAAGCTGGGCATGGAGCGGGTCAGGATCGACAGCATCGGCTCCAGCCTCTCCTCCGAGCGCTCCGACTCGGACCAAGGTGAGAGCCGGCGCCGGGGCGCGGCCGCGGGGAGGCCCGGCCCCGCCGGAGCCCCAACCCTTCCCGTTCCCCCGGCAGAAGAGATGGACGTGGACGTGGAGAGCACGGACGACCTCCCGGCCGAGCTGGACTGGAGCAGCAGCAGCCCCAGCGACTCGGACGAGCGCGGCAGCCTGCAGAGCCTGGGCAGCGACGAGGGCTACTCCAGCTCCGGCGGCGCCAGGGCCAGGCTGCCCGGCAGCCGCAAGCTTCCCGCCGGGATTTAGGGAGCTCTTCCCGGCTCCGTGCCCTCGGCGTCCCGTTAGCCAGCACAGCGACCCCGCCAGCATTCCCTGCACGGAACCCCCCCGGCCCGGCTGCTCCCGGGGCTCCGTTTGCACCTCCGGCCTCTCTGCTCCGCCCGGGAATGTTCTGGCAGCGACAGCGACCTCAGGAGCCTTCCCCGGGCTCTCTGCCCGGTGTTGCCCATCTCCCGACGCTCCCGACGCTCAGGAGGTTTTTTGGGAGCGGACCCGAGGAGGAGCCGGTGCTTTGTGGGGTTTCCATCCGCGGAGCCTTTCGGGCGCAGGGATCGGCCTCAGTCGGGGCTCCTTCCCCCGACTCTAAATCTTCAGGGACGCCGTGCCAGCCCCGCCGCGGTCCCGGAGCATTCCTGCCTGGGGGCAGGCTCGGGGCCGTGCCCACCCCTGGGGTCGAGGTGCCCCTCCTGGAATGTGGCACGGCCTTGCAGGCTCCTGCAATTCCCTTCCCGCACTCTCGGGGACTTTTTTCTACCTCGGAGGGAGCCCAGGGCCTCTCTCCACCCCTTCAGCACAAAGGTGATGCCTCTGCTCAGCAATAACCCCGCGGGATTCCCCGGCTCCATCCGCCCGGGATTGCTCCAGGCTCGTGGAAGGTTCCAGAAGCCACCACAGGGAGGGCAGGGGCTTCCCAGCCGTGGTGTGGATTCCTTTCCCAGTGCGCTGGAGGGATCATTCCCACCCCTTCCTGCTCTTGGAGATGCTCTGGGAATGTTGGCTCTGTGTGCAGAGCTCTGCTTCCAGCACCTTCCTTTTCCCCTCAGGCTGGTCCAGGGCTTTTCCAGACCCTGCTGAGAAGTCTGGGGAGCCCTCCCGGGGCTGGGATGGATCCCTCCCGGGGCTGGGATGGATCCCTCCCGGGGCTGGATCCCTCCCGGGCTGGGATGGAGCCCTCCCGGGCTGGGATGGGTCCTTCCCGGGGCTGGGATGGAGCCCTCCCGGGCTGGGCTGGAGCCCTCCCGGTTTGGGATGGAGCCCGGGCTGGGCTGGAGCCCTCCCAGGTTGGGATGGAGCCCTTCCGGGGTGGGATGGATCCCTCCCGGTTTGGGATGGAGCCCTCCCAGGGCTGGAGCCCTCCCGGGCTGGGATGGAGCCCGAGCCTCTGCCGGTGCCTCTCAGGAAATGCAGGTGCTGAAAGGCTTCAGATGCTCCGTGGAGTGCGAGGGGATGGATGAGCAGCAGGAGACTCCAGTGCTTTTTCCTTTCCTTTGTCCTTTCCCTTCCTTTTTTCTTACCCCCCCCCTTTTTTTTTTTTTTTGCCTTTTCATTTCCTCTTTACCCCTTTCCTCTTTTCTTTTTTCCCTTTTTTCCTTCTCCTCCTTCCCTTCTTTTCTCCTTTTCTGTACCCCTTTCCCCCTTTCTCATTTTCCCCCTTTCCTTTTTGCCACCCCAGTCCCATTCCTGGCTCACATGGGGACGTGGGAATCCACCCACAGGCCCCACAAATTGCCCAAATCCCCCAGGTTTTGGCTCTTGTTTTCCATGTGCTGGCTCATAAGAGAAAAAAAAAAAAAAAAAACCAAACCCAAACCACAAGGAATTTTCCTTTAAAGCTGCTGGAACTTTCCACCCTCTGGCATTGTCACAGACCCTGGGCACCTGAGCTCAACCCCCTGCACCGCCAAAAAGAGGGAAAAAAAGGCAAAAAGATGGAAAACACAGAGAAAAAGAGGAATACCAGCCCCTGGGGGCCGAGGCTCAGGTGGCTTTTGCCTTCACCTGGGGAATCCCAGCCCTGGGCAGGCCCTTCCAGAGGTACAAAACGTTGATTTTTAGTTGCTTTTGGACATTCTGAAGGTTTGGCCTCAGCACAAACGAGGGCTTTTGGCAGGTTTGTGCCTTTCTGAGTCTCCAATGCCTTTTTTTCCCCCTTTTTTCCCCTGCTCCTGGCCCAGCCTGCCCCTTCCCAGCCCTTTGCACTGTCGGGCTGTGCTCCGGGAACCCCAAAATTCTGCACTAACCCGGAACCCCCGGGTGCCCAGAGGTGGTGCCAGCCTTTTCCTGGAATTCACTGATCCACCAGCATTCCTATGAAACAAGCTGCAGGAAGGACTTTTTTATAGGTTGTGACAAAAAAAAAAACAAAAAACCCAGGGATGGGGGGAGTGGGATGGGGGCACGGACGGGTGGCAACCAAACCCACCCAATTTTGGGGCTGTTTTTCCTTTCTTTTTCCTTTTGGGAGGCAGATCCCCAAGCAGCAGCTCCCGGGAAGCACCAAAATGTTCTTTTCATCCTTCATTTCTCCAGCGGAGCCGTTCTCCACTCAAGCTTTCCTTCGTTGTTTTTGGGGACACCTCTTTTTTGTGCTTTTCCAGTCCTTTTTTTTGGTTGTTTTTCAGTTCTTTTTTGCTTCCCAAGCAGTGGCTCCAGCCCAGCCTGGCTCCCCTGGGCAGCTGGGAGTGGGCACAGCTGGAAATATCCAAATTTCCCACTGCAGAGCTGAACCCTGTGTCAAGCCAATAGAATGGTGTTTTTTTTTTTTTTTTCCTTTTTTTTTCCTTTTTTTTTTTACTTTTTTTTTCCTGTTTTTGTTTTTTGTTTTGTTTGTTTTTTGTTTTTTTTTTTTTTTAAGGAATTCCGTGTTTTAGGAGATCTTTGCTGTGTCCATGGATATTTCTGTCTTGTTTGATTGTTAGGAAATAAATTATTTCGTTACGAAAGAGCCGCGATTGCTGCGGGAGGGGAGGGGACGCTGAGGGCGGAGGTGGCAGAAGGACGGGGGTGGCACCGGGGTGGGGACAAGGACAGGGTGGGAGGGTGGCACGGGGGGGGACAGAGGGACACGGGGCCACCTGGGAGCCATCGCGGTGCCTCACCTGGGGCAGGTGCCCCGCCCGTGGGGCCACACCTGCCCCGAGGGCTCTCGAGTGACAAGTGGGGTCACGGTGGTGGCCGGGGAGGGACCTGCCGGGAAGGGACAGCGGGGAGGGGACAGGGGCACAGTCAGGGGTGGCACAAGGCTGGGGGATGGGCAGGACAGGGTGGATTGGGGACTTTGGGGGACAGGGGGGACTTGGAGGACATGATGGACATGGGGGACAGAAGGGACATGAAGGACGTGGGGGACACGGGGGACAGGGGTACATGGGGGGCACGGGGGACATTGGGGACACGCGAACAAGGGTTTGGAGCCATGGGGACATTGGGGATTTTGGGGGGACACAGGGAGACATGAAGGGAAGCTGGGGGGGTTGGAGGGTGACAGGAGGGACACGGGGGGATATTGGGGTGTGGGACAAAGGTGGTGGCACAAAGGGGACACGGGAACGTGGGGACACGGCAGAGGGGAGGGGGATGGTGACGTGCCAGGGGGGACATGAGGGCATTTGGGGACATGGGGGGGAGTGTAGGGGGACAAGGGGGTGTGGGAACAGGGGACCCCAACAGGGAACCCAGGGACAGCAATGGGGACACGGGGACATTGCCAGGGGTCCCTGCTGGGGACATGGGGCCCTGGAGTGGGGACACGGGCGTGGGGCCAGCAGCAGAGTGGCAGGGCGGGGGTGGCAGGTCCGCAGCGTCCCCGCGGCTGTGGCACACCTGTCCCCGTGAGCTGGCGCGGTGCCACATCCCGCCTGCCCTGCGGGGTTTAAGAGGCCGCGGGCTCGGCCGTGCCAGCGCTGTCCCCTCCTGTCCCCGCCATGGCCCTGGCGCTGCCGCTGCTCCTCGCCCTGCTCGGGACCACCCCAGGTAGGGCCGTGCCCCCCACACCTGGGGCAGCCCGGAGCACCCCCAGAGCCGGGCACCCCCAAAGCTGGCTGTCCCCAGAGCTGGCTGTCCCCAAACCTGGGTGTCCCCAAAGCCAGGTGTCCCCAAACCTGGGTGTCCCCAAATCTGGGTGTCCCCCTCAAGGACCCCGTGCACAGACTTCTGACAAGGGGGGAAGGGGGCCCTTGGGGGGGGTCTGGGACCCGTCTTGGGGTACGGGGGTGTCCCTGGGGGGGTCTCTTCCACCCGGGTCCCCCCGTGAGGGCAGGAGTGGGGTTTGGGGGTGCTGTGTGGTTAGGGGGGGTCACGGTGCCAGGGCCCCCCGGGATGGGGTGTTGGGGGGGGTGCATTGAGGGGGTCCCCCAATCCCTGGTGTCCCCAAGAGGGCTGGTTTTGGGGGAGGGGGGGGTGACTCCAGGGGGGTGTCCTGGGGGGGTCCTGGATTGCCAGGTGCCCCTGGCCGGGTGCTGACAGTGGCCACAGGTCTGGGGGCGCCGGGGGGGGGCTGTGGGGTGCCCCCCTCTGCCTGGTGCCAGGACTGGGTGACGGCGCTGCGCTGCGGGGCCCTGGGGCGCTGCCCCCACCTCACCCAGGGACCCCCCGAAGTGGTGAGAGACCCCTCCGTGTCCCCATCACCCCTCTAATGTCCCTCCACCCTTCCCTCCGTCCCTGTGCCCCCTGTGTGCCCCCAGAACCCCACAGGGGTCCCAGCACTCCCACCGTGGTGCCACACCAAGTCCAGACGCGTCCCCCTTGGTCCCCATGTCCCCATTCCCCCCTGTCCTCATGTCCCCATTCCCCCATGTCCTCATGTCCTCATGTCCCCCACGCCCCCACATCCCCATGTCCCCATTCCCCCATGTCCCACTTCCCCCATGTCCTCATGTCCCCCATGTCCCCATTCCCCCACGTCCCCATGTCCCACCTCCTCATGCTCCCCACGTCCCTGTCCTCCTCTGTGGCCATTCCCCAATGTCCCAGACCCCTGTGTCCCCATGTCCCCCTGTCCTCTCCTGCAGGACACCTGTGCCATGTGCCAGCACTTTGTGGACTTCCTCCGCCAAATCTCCAACCAAACCGCCGTGGAGGTGACACTGGGGGTGGGGGACAGGTGGCACTGGGGGTGTCACCGTGGGGGCCACAGGCACAGGTGCCACTGGGTATCACGGTGGATGCCAGCAAGTGCCACTGGGCACAGGGAGGTGCCACTGGGAGTGCCACTGTCGCTGAGGAGGTGGTGGCTGCTGCTGAGGGTGCCAGGTCACAGATGCCACCATGGTGCTGTGTCACTGCGGGTGCTGGGACGGCGGGTGAGGTGGTGGCAGGTGCCAGTGGGTGCCACTGTGGTGAGGGGACAGGGCAGATGCCATCGTGTGTGCCATGGCCACAGGTGCCCACGGGCACCAGTGGTGACAGGTGTGGCTGGGGTGTGGTGGTGGTGAGTATGGCAGTGGTGGCTGTCACTGTGGGTGTCACTGTGGGTGTCACTGTCACTGTCACTGTCGGTGCCCTGGTGCAGGAGGTGCTGGAGCACGTGGTGGGGTTGGTGTGCCCACATCTCCCTTTGGTGGAGATCCCGTGCCAGCAGCTGGTAAAGTGGCTTGTCCATCAACTCCTCCGGGACCTCCAGCACCTCGTGAGTGGCAGTGGGGCACACGGGAGGGGCCTTGGGGACACTGCGGCCCCCAGGGACATGGGGGACAGCGGGCACAGCAGGGCATGCAGGGGCACCCCGGGGGCTTGGGGACAGCTGTGTCACGCTGTGCTGGCCCGCAGAAGCCCCACGAGGTCTGTGCCAAGCTGCAGCTGTGTCCTGCAGAGCCCGGCGCCGCGCTGGCCCTGCCCGACCTGGAGGTGCCCGGCAGCCACCTGCAGGTACGGGGACACGGGGACAGCCGGGGTGGGTGGCAGGGGGACACAGCCACACAGAGTCCCCAGCACAGCTGCAGTGTCCCCTCTGCCCCTGCAGTGTCCCCGCACTGCCAGCAGTGTCCCAGCACTGGTCGCAGTGTGCCAGCAGCAGGTGCAGTGTCCCCTCTCCACTGCAGTGTCCCCTCTCTGCTGCAGCGTCCCCAGCACCACTACAGTGTCCCCTCTGCCCTGCAGTGTCCCCTCTCTGCTGCAGTGTCCCCAGCACCGCTGCAGTGTCCCCAGCACCACTGCAGTGTCCCCTCTGGCTGCAGTGTCCCTGCCCTGGCTGCAGTGTCCCCTGTCCCCCGCAGGGCTCCGGGCTGTCCCCGCAGGCGCTGCCGCTGCCGCTGCCGCTGTGCTGGCTGTGCCGCTCGCTGGTGGCGCGGGCCGAGGCCGCTGTCCCCGTGGGCTCGGTGGCCGCGGCGGTGGCCGGGCTGTGCCGGGCGCTGCCGCTGCCGGTGGCCGGGGCGTGCCAGTGCCTGGCCGAGCGCTACGCGGCCCTGGCGCTCGAGCGGCTGCTGGGCCGCCTGGGGCCGCGCCTGCTCTGCCGCCTGCTCCTCGCCTGCCGCAGCGGGGACAGCGGGGACAGCGGGGACAGCGAGCACGCGGGGACGCTGCCACCGCCCTGGCTGCTGGAGACCATCGTGGTGCGGCTGGCGGACTGTGTCAGGGAGGAGGTGAGGGGGGGACACGGAGAGGACGGCCGGGGGGATGGTCCCCAGAGGGTGACAGGGCACGCCAGGGTCACACAACAATGAGGGGACACGTCCAGGAGTGTCACAGCCCCGAGGACACACCACTGAGCGTCGAGGTCCCCGGGAGCCACGCCAGGGACACAAATGTTGGTGCAGCCCCAAAGGGACACATCCTGGGTGTCACAGTCCTTGGGGACACATCATGGGCTGTCACAGTCCTGTCAGTGAGATCCCCAGTCAGTGCCACCCTCCCTCCAGTGCCAGAGCCACAGCCTGGGGAGGGGGCTTGGGGGGGTCCTGGGGGTGCCCCCACCCTTGGGGGAGCCCCTCATGCCTGTGTCCCCCCCCAGGACCCCAAAGGTGCCGCTGTCCCTGCGCTGTCCCTGTCCCTGGGCCCCTGTGCCCTGGGCCCCATCTTCTGGTGCTCGGGCCCGGAGGCCGCGCGGCGCTGCCAGGTGAGTGGGGACACAGGGGACACGGGGGACAGGGGGGCTGTCACCCCCTGCACCCCAGCTGACCCCTGGGCCCCTTGCAGGCCCTGCAGCACTGCCGGGAGCACGTCTGGCTGTAGGGGGGCACCAGGACCCCCCAGCTTTCCCCAATAAAGCTTGGATGCAGCTCTGCCTCAGCCTTTGGGGGTTTTGGGGCTCAGTGGGGGCTGGGGGCTCACGGGGTGCTGGGAGGGAAGCAGCAGAAACCACAAACCCGCAAAACCCAAAGAAAAGAGGTGAAAATGAGCTACAAAAATATCAGGTGGCATTTACTGGGACACACACACCTGCAGGGGGACTGAGGGTGTCCCCAGGTGGGCATCAGGTGTCCCTGCGAGTCTCTGGGTGACCACGGGGGAGCTTGGGCTGCTCCTAAAGGGGTCTAAGGGCACCCCTAGGGGGGTGGGGATACCCCCGAGGGGGAGCTGGGGGTGTCCCCAGGGGGTTTTCTGGGTGTCCCCAAGGCTCTCAGGCGCCTTGTTGGTTCGTCTCATCCTCCTCGCGTCGCTTCCAGATCTGCAGGAGAGCAGGAGGCGGTTGGGGGGGGCACAGGAGATGTTTGGGGGTGTCAGGGGAAATTCAGGGGGTGTCACAGGACATCCTGGGGGTACCCCCTGTCCCCCCTCACCTGGATGTAGGCCTCGGACAGGGTGATCATCTGGGGCAGGATGTCGGTCACCTGCAGGTCCTGCAGCTCGTACCACTTCCCTGTGCCCTGCCAGGACCCGGGAGGGGTCAGGGTGACTCAGGGGGGTCCCCGTGGTCCCCCCGAGCCCCCCGGGGAGGGGACACTCACGTGGTGCAGGACGTGGATGCGGTAGGAGCCCTCCGAGGGCTTCCCGTCGTGCACGATGTTGGCGATGAGGTCGTAGGTGGTGTGGGAGTGCGCGGCCTGCACCTCCTCCGACAGGTACTCCCGCAGGTCCACGTTCCTGGGAGCCCACAGCACCCTCAGACAGCCCCACGGGGCTCCTGTCCCTCCTGGGTGCTGCAATCCCCCCAGCTGCCCACCCTCAGACAGCCCCACGGGGCTCCTGCCCCTCCTGGGTGCTGCAATCCCCCCCAGCTGCCCACCCACAGCACCCTCAGACAGCCCCACGGGGCTCCTGTCCCTCCTGGGTGCTGCAATCCCCCCAGCTGCCCACCCACAGCACCCTCAGACAGCCCCACGGGGCTCCTGCCCCTCCTGGACACTGCAATCCCCCCAGCTGCCCACCACACTCCCTCACGTATCTACATCCCCATCCCAGGTGTCACGAACTCCACGACATCCCCAGGTGCTTTCAAATCCCTTTTTGATGCCTAAAAACCACTCAAAGCCCACCCAGATGCCCACATACCACCCTAGACACCTTCAAACCCTGGACACTTCTACTCCCCTGGCTCAGGTGCTTCCAAAGCCCCTCTAGACGTCTCAGACATTTACACCCCGTCCAGATGCCTTCAACCCTTCCCCAGATACCCCCAATCTCCTCTTAGATGCTTTTAACCCTCTCCACAAGCTCCCAGCTCCCCAAAGCAGGGGGCACAGAAAGGATTCCCCGGGCACATACAGGGGGGCTGTGCCTGCTGGGGGGTCCCTGAGCTCCCCCAGCAGCCACCCTGTCCCTGCTTGTCCCCACAGCCCTGGGTGTCCCAGGCTCACGTGATGGGGAAGTTGACGATGGTGGGGTTCTTCTCCACGAAGAAGTTGTTCTTGGTGAAGCGCTTGATGCAGAAGATGAGGTAGGGGGGCAGGCGTGTGAGCTGGAAGCGCTTCAGGAAGTTCTCCTTGTAGGTCTTGTACTCCTTCTCGGTGCTGCCGTTGAACTTGGCCAGGATGCTGAACAGGGGCACCTGGGGGATGATGAGCTGCTCCTTCTCGTCCTTGTAGAGCGGCGCCGTGGGCAGGTCCAGGGTCAGGTACAGGAAGGTGGACTCCACCATGCGCTCCTGGTACTCGCTGTTCTGCAGCAGCTGCGCCTTCTCCTCCGCGGGCTGCGGGCACCCGTGGGGCACACGGCAGCCCCGTGGGGCACGTCAGCCCCGTGGGGCACACACCAGCCCCGTGGGGCACACACCAGCCCTGCTGGACCCCACATTCCCACTGGACACAGCAGCCCTGCTGGATCCATCACACCCCAACCAGACCCAACACTCCCCATTGGACCCAGCACCCGCCAATGGATCCAACATCCCACATTGGACCCAACACCCCCCACTGGATCCATCACCCCACTGGATCAATCACCCCACTGACCCTAACACCACCCCATACGACCCTGCTGCCCCCACTAGACCCTAACACCCCTGTGTTGTACCCAAAGGCCCCCCACCACACACCCCCATCCCTCATTTAACCCCATCACACTCCTCATTTGACCCAATCCCCTGTCAGAACCCCAACACCCCCATGTAACCCCAACACCCCTTTTTCTGACCCTGCCATTCCCACTGCACCCCAACTCCCCCAATTCCCCAACTCCCCCTGCCAAAATCCCGTTGGACTCCGGTACCCCACACTGCACCCCAACACCCATCACTGCCCCCCATACCCTGACACCCCCCACTGCACCCCAACACCCCCCATTCCCCCACCAAGTCCCACCAGGTCAGGGTGTGGCAGTTTCTTGGTGAAGATGCGCATGGAGCCCTGGAACACGTCGGTGACGATGGCTGGGGGGACAAAGTGGGGCTCAGTGGGTGGACAGCAGCACACAAAGGCCCCCCCAGAACCTCCCCTCACTCACTCTTCTTCTTCCTCTTGGTGCCGCCCAGCGCGGCGTGCAGCGCGTTCAGGAACCAGGACAGGAACTCCACCCCATCCCCTGCAACGGCAGAGCTGGAGCTGAGCCTGCATCCTGCTCTGCCCCTGCATGCAGAGACCCCAGACCCTGCACCCCCAGACCCTGCACCCTGAATCCACAGCCCCCAGACCCAGCCCTGCACCCCCAACCCAGCCCTGCACCCCTGAATCCACAGCCCACAGACCCAGCCCTGCACCCCCAAATCCAAAGCCCCCATACTCAACCCTGCCTCCCCAACCCAGCCCTGCACCCCCAAATCCAAAGGCCCCAAGATCCAGCTTTTCCCCTCAAACCCAGCACTGCCCCCCAAACCCAGCCCTGCACCCCCAAACCCAGAGCCTCCCAAGCCCAGCTCTTCCCCTCAAACCCAGCTTTGCCCCCCAACCCTGCACCCCCAAAACCCACCCTGCTTGGTGATCTGGAAGTTCTTCTTGCTGCACAGCACCACTGCCTGCAGCATCTCGTGGGGGGACACGTGTGCCTTGAAGTTCCTGGGGTTCCAGAGCTTCCTCATGAGCTCCCCGAAGCGCTGCACCAGCAGGAACATGATGTCCCCGGGCGGGCGCTGGATGTGCCGGTAGTTCTCCTCCTCCAGGAAGTAATTCCTCAGGGGAGGCACGTTGGAGAGGGCCTGGGGACAGAGCAGGGGGGATTCAGCCCCGAGACCCCCATGGTGGGGGATCTGGGGGGCTTTGGGGCAGACCCTGCACTGCTGTGGGTCAGGAATCCCAGAAGAGTCTGAGCTGGAAAGGATCCAGAGGTGGGAACGATCCCTGCTGGCCCCACAGAGGAGTTTGGGGCAGACCCTGCACTGCTGTGGGCAGGGAATCTCAAGCAGTATGAAAGGGAAAGGATCCAGAGGTGGGGATGATCCCTGCTGGCCCCACAGAGGGGTTTGGGGATGGTTATGGGGGGCTTTCACCCTAAAAGGCCAGCTGCACCCCACAGGTGTAATGCCTGCAGAATGGAAGGTGGGATCCACCCTCAGGAGTGGGATTTTAGGAGGATTTCAGAGGAGATTCAGCCCAAAATGATCCCTCACGTACATATGCTGTGGAAAAGAGGTGGGACTCGTCCCCAAGACCCCCAGAGCAGGATTTGGGGAGGGTCTCAGCCCAGAATGAAGCCTGAACCCCCTCACAATGCACAGCCTATGAGAGGAAAGGTGTGATTCCTCCCTGTCAGACCCACAGTGCTGTTTTGGGGGGGTTTCACCCCAGAAGGAAGCCCCCACCCTGGTGTCACCTGCAGCACAGCGTTGGCATAGTCGTTGGCCTTGATGTTGTTGAGCCCCACGATGCCAGGCAGGTACGTGGTGCCATCGTAGGCCCGGGACAGCTTGGCCTGTTTGTCCAGGTGGGCGATGTGCTGGGCTGTGAAGGTGGGCTTCAGCACGTACTGTGGGGGGAGAGAGCCCTCAGAGCTGGGGACCCCAACCTGAACCCCCCAGAGCTGGGGACTCCAACCTGAACCCCTCAGATCTGGTGGTGATCCCCACCCAAACCCCTCAGATCTGGGCCAGACCCGATATCCCAAACCCCTCAGATCTGGGACAGACCCGATATCCCAAACCCCTCAGATCTGGTGGTGATCCCCACCCAAACCCCTCAGATCTGGGACAGACCCCGCCCCAAACCCCTCAGATCTGGGGCAGATCCCCACCCAAACCCCTCAGATCTGGGACAGACCCCGTCCCAAACCACTCAGATCTGGGACAGACCCCATCCCAAACCCCTCAGATCTGGTGGTGATCCCCACCCAAACCCCTCAGATTTGGGACAGACCCCATCCCAAACCCCTGAGGTGTGGACAGACTCCATCCCAAACCCCTCAGGTGTGACAGACCCCATCCCAAACCCCTCAGATCTGGGGCAGATCCCCACCCAAACCCTTCAGATTTGGGGCAGACCCCATCCCAAACCCCTGAGGTGTGGACAGACCCCATCTGAACCCCCTCAGATCTGGGACAGACCCCATCCCAAGCCCCTGAGGTGTGGGCAGCCCCCCCCAGCCCCAGCACCGTGATGTCCTCGAGGGAGGAGTCGATGATCTCGTAGTTGTCGGGCAGGCAGTAGAACTTGAGCGTGTGCAGGTTGAGGAACACGTGGTGGCTCAGCTGCACGCTGTGGATGTAGGCGTGCGACTTCAGCCCGCGGCCTGTGGGGGACACGGGCACCAGGGGTGGCACCGAGCACCGTGCCAGAGGCAGGGGGCACACGGAGGGTCCCCGTGCCCGCTGGAGGGTCCCTGAGCTGCCCCAGCAGCCACCCTGTCCCTGGTGTCCCCATGGTGGCCCTCCCCAGGCATCCTCTTTGTGCCCCTTGGCAGCAGCCTGTCCCTGGCTGTCCCCTGTCCCTGCATGTCCCCAGAGCCCTGGGTGTCCCCAGCAACACCACAGACCCCTTGTGCCCTGTCCCTGAGTGTCCCCTGTCCCTGCATGTCCCCAGAGCCCTGGGTGTCCCCAGCAACACCCCAGATACTTTGTGCCCCATCCCTGTCGCTGGGTGTCCCCAGCAACACCATCCCGACCCCCAGGTGTCCCCCACAGCAGCACTGGGGTGTCCCCAGCGGTGTCCCCCATCAGTCCTGGCTGTCCCCAGCAGGGTCCCCCATTGTCCTGGCTGTCCCCTGGGTGTCCCCCATCACTTCTGGCTGTCCCCCCTTGCTCTTGGCTGTTCCCAGTGTCCACCATCACTCCTGCTTGCCCCCTGGCTGTCCCCCATCACTCCTGCTTGTCCCCTGGGTGACCCCCATCTATCCTGGCTGTCCCCTGAGAGTCCCCCATCACTTCTGGCTGTCCCCCCTTGCTCTTGGCTGTTCCCAGTGTCCACCATCACTCCTGCTTGCCCCCTGGCTGTCCCCCATCACTCCTGCCTGTCCCCTGGCTGTCCCCCATCACTCCTGCCTGTCCCTTGGGTGAACCCCATCTGTCCTGGCTGTCTCCTGAGAGTCCCCCATCACTTCTGGCTGTCCCCCCTTGCTCTTGGCTGTTCCCAGTGGTGTCCCCCATCACTCCTGCTTGTCCCCTGGCTGTCCCCCATCACTCCTGCCTGTCCCCTGGGTGACCCCCATCTGTCCTGGCTGTCTCCTGAGAGTCCCCCATCACTTCTGGCTGTCCCCCCTTGCTCTTGGCTGTTCCCAGTGGTGTCCCCCATCACTCTAGCCTGTCCAGGGGGGGTCTCACCCTGGAAGTACTTCCCGCAGACCAGGCAGGCGTAGACGTTGATGTGGGACAGGGAGATGGAGCAGAGCTTCTCAAAGTCAAAGTCCAGGACACTCCTGGGGGGAGAGCGGTGTCACGGGGCTGGGGGGCAGCGGGGGGGACCCCCAGGGACAGGGGCACCCCGAAGCAGCCCCGTCACCCACTTGTTGATGGTGTCCAGGTAGGGGCAGTGCCGGCTGCGCTGGTCCTCGGGGTCGAAGCGCCCGTAGCGCACTGCGGGGGAGGGAGGGTGTGAAAAGGGGGGCACAAGGACCCCAAAAACACGAGGATGATCCCATCCAGCCCCCCCCCCCTGTGACAGCTCCCCGGGGCTGAGCCCCAGCTGCTCCCAGTGCCTCCAAACCCTGCCCAGAGCCGAGCTCAGGACCCCAGGAGCAGTGACGCTGGTGACCCCCCGGTCCCAGAACCCCCCCAGACACCCCAGTGTCATTTTAGAGTTCCCCCAGACACTCCGTGTCCCCTCACACCCCTTGTCCCCACACCTTGCTCGCCATCGGCGTCGCGGCGGCTGCGGGAGGAGGCGCGGGCGGCGGAGGCCCCGCGGGGCTCCCGGGGCTCCCGGGGGTCGCGGTCCCGCCTCCCGCGGCTCGACATGGCGCCGGTTCGGGCGATCTGCGCATGCGCCACGCGAGGGGCAAATCGGTCTGCGTTACTGTGCGCATGCGCGGCCGCCGCTGAGTGAAAAGGTGCTACCGCGCCTGCGCGCTGCGGCGCTCCCTGCCGGCGCGCGGCGGCACCGGGGCTCTTAAAGGCGCCGCGCCCCCGGTACCGACCGCGGCCGCCGGTACCGGGATGGAGGCGGCGGCCACAACGGCGGCTCCCGGCTGGCGCTGCCGGCCGGGGGGACGGCTGGACATGAGCCACGGCTTCGTGCGGCACATCCGCCGCAACCAGCTCGCCAGGTACCGGCACGGGCCCGGCCCCGCCGGGACCCTCCTCCCCGGGCCGGTTTGGCCCCGGTGCTCCCCTCACCCCGTAACGCCGCTGTTTTCCCCGTGCCCAGGGACGCGTACGACCGCGCGGTGCGGCAGGCGCGGGGCCGAGCGCGGACGCGGCTGATCCCGGGCCCGGCGCGGCCCCGGCGGCCCGACCAGCAGGTGTACCGACCGCACCGGGGCGGCGGTGAGCGGGAACGGGGGGGAACCGGGGGGATCAGCAGGGGAGGACAGGGAGAGTGCCCTGGGGGGGTCCCTGGGGACAGTGGGGGTGACATGGAGAAGGTCCGTGGGGCAGTGGGGGCACCCCGGGGACAGTGGGGTGCCCCCTGGGTGGGCTCCTGGGGCAGTGGGCTCCCCCCTGGGTGCGCTCCTGGGGCAGTGGGCTCCCCCCTGGGTGCGCTCCTGGGGCAGTGGGCTCCCCCCTGGGTGCGCTCCTGGGGCAGTGGGCTCCCCCCTGGGTGCGCTCCTGGGGCAGTGGGCTCCCCCCTGGGTGCGCTCCTGGGGCAGTGGGCTCCCCCCTGGGTGCGCTCCTGGGGCAGTGGGCTCCCCCCTGGGTGCGCTCCTGGGGCAGTGGGCTCCCCCCTGGGTGCGCTCCTGGGGCAGTGGGCTCCCCCCTGGGTGCGCTCCTGGGGCAGTGGGCTCCCCCCTGGGTGCGCTCCTGGGGCAGTGGGCTCCCCCCTGGGTGCGCTCCTGGGGCAGTGGGCTCCCCCCTGGGTGCGCTCCTGGGGCAGTGGGCTCCCCCCTGGGTGCGCTCCTGGGGCAGTGGGCTCCCCCCTGGGTGCGCTCCTGGGGCAGTGGGCTCCCCCCTGGGTGCGCTCCTGGGGCAGTGGGCTCCCCCCTGGGTGCGCTCCTGGGGCAGTGGGCTCCCCCCTGGGTGCGCTCCTGGGGCAGTGGGCTCCCCCCTGGGTGCGCTCCTGGGGCAGTGGGCTCCCCCCTGGGTGCGCTCCTGGGGCAGTGGGCTCCCCCCTGGGTGCGCTCCTGGGGCAGTGGGCTCCCCCCTGGGTGCGCTCCTGGGGCAGTGGGCTCCCCCCTGGGTGCGCTCCTGGGGCAGTGGGCTCCCCCCTGGGTGCGCTCCTGGGGCAGTGGGCTCCCCCCTGGGTGCGCTCCTGGGGCAGTGGGCTCCCCCCTGGGTGCGCTCCTGGGGCAGTGGGCTCCCCCCTGGGTGCGCTCCTGGGGCAGTGGGCTCCCCCCTGGGTGCGCTCCTGGGGCAGTGGGCTCCCCCCTGGGTGCGCTCCTGGGGCAGTGGGCTCCCCCCTGGGTGCGCTCCTGGGGCAGTGGGCTCCCCCCTGGGTGCGCTCCTGGGGCAGTGGGCTCCCCTGGGTGGGCTCCTGGGGCAGTGGACTCCCCTGGGTGGGCTCCTGGGGTGGTGGGCTCCCCCCGGGTGGGCTCCCCGGAGCCGCGGCGGGCAGGGCGGGTGACACGGCTGTCGCAGGGGGACAGCGCCGAGGAGGTGACACGCCGGGTGTGCGCCCGGAGCCCGCTGGAGCCGCCGCTGCGCCGGGCGCTGTGCCAGCGCGTGCAGGACGAGCTCAGCAAGCGCCGGGGCACCGGGTGACACCGCCACCGCCCCCGGACACGGCCACCCCCCTGCCACCGCCGCCATCCCCCCCCCCGGGGTCAATAAAGGTGCTGCGAGGCTCTGGTGTCTCTCACTGCTCGGGGAAACTGAGGCACGGCAGGGGGAGGGACGCAGCTCCTGGGTCCCCAGGTGTCACCATGTCCCCTCTCTGGAGTGCCCACCCCCTCCTCAGGTCCCCTCTGTGTCCCCCTCCTGCCCCCAGCCCAGGTTGGTGGCACCTGTGGCCAAGGCCAGGCGTGCCCAGGGTGGCCCCAGGGTCCCTGTGTTGTTGTGGGGTGTCCCCAGGGTGGCCTCTGGGGTTTATTTATTATTTCAGGGCCTTTTGTTGTTGTGGGGTCAGCCTGGGGATCCCCCCAGTGCCCTGGGTTTTATTTTATTTTAAAATACTGCTCTGTTTTTTATTATTATTAATTGTGGGGTCAGCCTGGGGATCCCCCCAGTGCTCTGGTTTTTATTTTATTTTAAAGTACTGCTCTGCATTTTATTTTTATTTATTGTGGGGTCACCCTGGAGATCACCCCAGTGCTCTGGTTTTTATTTTATTTTAAAGTACTGCTCTGCATTTTATTTTTATTAATTGTGGGGTCTCCCTGGAGGGTCTGGCACGCTTGTCATTGTAAGATCTTCCTGGAAATCATCCCGTTGCTTTGGGATTGTGGGATCTCCCAGGGCTGGTACCACTGCTCTGTTCTGGTGGGGTCTTCCCAAACAGCTCTTGGTGTTTATTTGTTTTAGGATCCCCTCAAAACAGATCCTGGTGTTTATTGATTATAGGGTCTTCCCAAAACTGATCCTGGTGTTTGTTTATTGTAGGGTCCACCCAAGAGTCCATCCTGTTGGTTTGTTATTGTGGGGTATCTCCATGTCAGATTCTGGATTCTCAGTTCTTGTAGGCTCTCCCCAAACCAGATCCTGGTGTTTATTTATTGTAGGATCTCCCCAAACCAGATCCTGGTGTTTATTTATTGTAGGATCTCCCCAAACCAGATCCTGGTGTTTATTTATTTATTGCAGGATCTCCCCAAACCAGATCCTGGTGTTTATTTATTTATTGCAGGATCTCCCCAAACCAGATCCTGGTGTTTATTTATTTATTGCAGGATCTCCCCAAACCAGATCCTGGTGTTTATTTATTTATTGTAGGGTCATCCCAAACCAGATCCTGGTGTTTATCTCCCCAGACCAGATCCTGGTGTTTATTTCTTGCAGGGTCTCCCCCCAGTCCATCCTGCTGGTTTGGGGTTCAGGGTGTCCCCAGAGAGCTCCTGCTGCTGCTGCTGGTGTTTCCCCCCAGGGGGTTTTTATTGTGGGGTCCCTTCAGAGCAGATTTTGGAGTTTGTTCCTCGTGGGGTCTCCTCGAGGACCGTCCCACTGTTGGTTGTTGTCCTTGCAGGGTGTCCCCAAGAGCCCTGGTGTTTATTTGTCACTTATTTGTCACCGTGGTCCCTCTGTCCTCGCGGGCTCCCTGCAGTGCTGGGGGGGTGCTCGGTGCCCCCCGCGGGGTGGGGACAGTGCTGGTGACAGTCCCGGGGGACGAGCGTGCCAGGGCCAGCGCCAGAGCCAGCCCCAGGATGAAGAGGAGGAGGAGGCCGAGGCCGAGGGCCACCAGCTGCCACCGGCGGTGTCCCCTGCGCTGGCGCCGCGTCACCGCGCGCGTGGTGCGGGTGAAGGCCTCGCTCTGCGGGGACAGGAGGGGACAGGGGACAGTGCCACGGGCTGCACAGGGGCTGGGGACACACCTGGGGACAGACAGACACCCCCCCAGAGCCTCTCCTCCCCAGGCTGGGTGTCCCCACGGTGTCCCCACAGTGTCCCCAGCCCTGGGTGTCCCCACAGTGTCCCCAGCTCCTGGGTGTCCCCTCTGTGTCCCCACAGTGTCCCCAGCCCTGGGTGTCCCCAGCCCCCAGACAGACACCCCCCCAGAGCCTCTCCTCCCCAGGCTGGGTGTCCCCATGGTGTCCCCACAGTGTCCCCAGCTCCCGGGTGTCCCCAGCCCTGGGTGTCCCCTCTGTGTCCCCAGCCCTCTGTGTCCCAACAGTGTCCCCAGCCCCTGTGTGTCCCCACAGTGTCCCCAGCCCTGGGTGTCCCCGCAGTGTCCCCCAGCACTCTGGGTCACCCCAAGGCTCTATGTCCCAGTAATTTGTCCCTCCTGGGGCTCTCCATGTCCCCCCCCAGGGCTCAATGTCCCTGAACTGTCACCCCAGCTGTCTGTCCTGTAGCAGGTCCTCCCTTTACACCCCTGCGGTGTCCCCTGGGCTCTGTGTCCCCAGGTTTACGTGTCCCCATAAAGCCCCACTCCCCCTCCCTGCGGTCCCTGTGTCCCCTGTGTCACTCCGTGTGTCCCTTTAGTGTCACACCCCATCCCCGGGCCCTGTGTCCCTTTAGTGCCACACCCTCCCCGGGCCCTGTGTCCCTTTAGTGCCACACCCCATCCCCTGGCCCTGTGTCCCTTTAGTGCCACACCCCATCCCCTGGCCCTGTGTCCCTTTAGTGCCACACCCCATCCCCAGGCCATGTGTGTCCCTTTAGTGTCACCCCATCCATGTGTGTCCCCAGGCCCCGCCCGGCTCTGCTCCAGGTGTCCCCGCAGTGCCACCCCCCGTGTCCCCGTGTCGCACCGCCTGTCGCAGGTCCTGGGCGCGGCTCTGCAGCTGCTCCAGGTGTCCCTCCCGCTCCAGCGCCTTGGCCACGTTCTGTCGCATCAGCTCCGCCACCTCCTCGGCCTCGCGCTGGCACCGCGCCAGCCCCGCCTGGGGACACGGGGGACAACGTGGGGACACCGTGGGGACACGGGGGGGAGGTGGCACCGGGGAATGTGGGGACACAAAACCACGGGGACCGGCCGGGCGGGGACATGGGGACAGCGGGGACCACCCTGGGGACAAAGCCTGACCGTGGGGACACGGGCACGGCAGGGACAATGGCACCGCGAGGGGGGCACACACGGAGCACGGGGACAGGAAACCGTGGGGACGAGGACACGGCGGGGACCGCGATGGGGACCGGGGGGGACACGAGCACGGCGGGGCCAGAGCGCGCACGGGGACACCGGGACCGCGGGACACGCAGCGACACTCGGGGACACTCGGGGACACGGAAAGTGCCGCTCGGGCCACCTCCCGCCACCCCCGGGACCGCGTCCCTCCCTTCGGCAGGGAGAGCCCGGGGGACGGACCGGCACCGGCACCGGCACCGGCACCGGCACCGGCACCGGGGGTCCCGAGCCCGGCGGCTCCCGTGGCTCCGAGCCCGCTCTGCCCCTCGCAAAGCGAAAGCGAAAGCGGCGCCAGCGGCGGCCGGGACTCACCATGGTCCCGGTACCGCGGGCCGGGGTCGCTGCCGGTGCCGCTGCCGGTACCGGTGCGCCCGTTCCTGTACCCGTCCCGCCTCGGGCCCCAGCGGCCGCCCCCGCCGGGAGGGACCGGGACCGCCCCCCGCCACCCTGGAGTGGCCACGGTCCGGGACACCCCGGCCACACCAGGACAGGGCTCCTCAGGACCCCCCAGTGCCCCCTGCCCTGCTGCCGGACCCCTGTCCCCATGTC